ATCAATCAATCAATCAATCAATCAATCAATCAATCAATCAATCAATCAATCAATCAATCAATCAATCAATCAATCAATCAATCAATCAATCAATCAATCAATCAATCAATCAATCAATCAATCAATCAATCAATCAATCAATCAATCAATCAATCAATCAATCAATCAATCAATCAATCAATCAATCAATCAATCAATCAATCAATCAATCAACCAATCAATCAATCAATCAATCAATCAATCAATCCAATCAATCAATCAATCAATCAATCAATCAATCAATCAATCAATCAATCCAATCAATCAATCAATCAATCCAATCAATCAATCAATCAATCCAATCAATCAATCAATCAGCTTATAAAGCGCTGTTTCCGCGATGTTCAACAGCGCTCCTCAATGAATTTTGAAAACAGATGGGTCTTGAGATCCGCTCTGAACCTCGCAAGTGATGGAGAAGTAGAAGTAGTCAGAGAAGTAGGTAGATAAGATAAGTTGCCTTTTTTTCCAATGGCTTGTTTTTTTACTTTAAAGAATTATTTTTTTTTTAATTTAGTGTTTTTCAGTATCCGGTCAAATTCATTCCATCGATGCGTGTCAGATGATGGTCGGTGCAATGGAGGTTCGTCCGTAGTGAGTGAAGAAGTTTTTGGAGAGTACACGCCCGCACATTTACACACATACATCAATAAAACACACACATACACAACATCCATTCATTCGGTGTCGTTATTGTTATGTTTTTCTTCAACTTTCTATTTTCTTTACCAGACTTAATTTAATTCGTAGGTAAATTAGGGATTGAGATGAGTTGAACAATCGTAAGTAGGCTAGAGCTTAACATTAGTTAAAAAGTTTCAAGTAAAATAAAAACGCTGAAATATGTAAAATAAAATACCTAAAACATGTAAAATTCCAAAAACGTAGAAAAACATATTTGTAGGTAGGTGAGTTGAGTTAATGATTATAAGTAAGCTAGGGCCCTGAGAGTAATTTAATTGTAGGTAGGTGACTGACTACTATTCTTGCAACTTTTTACTAGTTTTTTGTGATGTGTTTGTTTTCGCTTCACAGCCCCACACCAACAAAACAAACTACATTTTATTCTCGTCGTCGCCCTAAATTTTACCTTTTTGAACAATCTTTTTAATAATGTCTATTTATTTATTTAATTATTTATTAAATGTTGACTGGTTTCTAGTTTTTTTAATTTGGTTATAAAATTTTTGGATATTTCTTGATTTAATAAAAGCAACTATTGTGTTTTTCTTTCTTTACTAAAATCTCGAAATTGTTTGTAGATCTGTACAGTTAAGTGTTTGTTCGAGTTTGAACAAGCCTTGCAAATATTTTTCAAATATGGTTCATTGAATGGTTGGTTGATTAGTTGATTGAATGAATGGTTGGTTGATTGATTGGTTGATTGATTGATTTATTGATCTCATAGTATTTTATATATGGAAAAAAAATCCGATTAAGCCAACATACGGCTTTACTTGGCCACTGTATTTTACCAGACAAAAGCAATTTCTTTATTTATATTGACAAAAATAATTGTGAAATGAATATATTGACTTATTTAAAGCATTATATGTAAAGAAAACCGCCATGACACTGTTGTATGAAACCCAGTAAGCCACTGCAGTAAGCCAACGTATGATTTCAGCAACCATAATTTCTATGAGCACCAGCAGAATGTAAAATATTCATTGAATATAATGAAGATAGTTGTTCAAATAACAATTTTGATCTATTTAGGTCGTTTATTTCATGAGCAAACAAATTTTTAACATGATCGAATAGTGTAAAAAAGGGTGACTTTAGTTCAATCCTACTAGGCCAACCTTCGGCTTCAGTAAAAAAACCACCGGATTTCACAGGACCAAAAGTATAATTTTTATATTCAAATTAACAACAATAATTTAATAATACATAATTTTATTTAATAAAATCATAATTTTATTTAATAAAATTAAAGAGAATTACTACAATGTTTTAAGCATATTTAAGCAAGTAAATATTTCATATAGCTTGCTCGTTAAAATCCATGCAATTTCGTAAGCCAATAATCCAAGCACGACAAATTATTCTAATTATATGAAATGATCCACATAATTGAATAACTAGCAAAAATCATTGAATATTAGTTATTTTAAAAAATATATTCTTTATTCCCAGGCCTAAGCATTGTAAGTAAAAATTTTACAACCAATCAAGCAATAGGATTTAGGATTTTAGGAACAAGTGCTGTTAGTGTAGTAGTTGTAGTATGTAGTAGTGTAGTGGTAGGTAGTCTCTAGAAGTCTAATCTGTTAATGTTCGTTAGTGTTATCTGTTATTTATTGTAATTAGAATTAGTAGTTTAGTTTTAGCTTAATTATTAGAGTTTAGTAATTTAATTACTAATTAGTCGTCGTTAATGTTGTTACGTTACCCTTACCGGTTACAGTTAATCGTTAATGAGTCAAGTGTTAGAAGAGTGGTTCACAAAAAATTTTTTTAATTTAAAATGCAAAAACCGTCATACTGCAATATCTATCCTAAAACAGCATCTAGTATCACCTTTCAAAACATTTTAAATAAAAGCAATATTCCGAAATTAGTAAATAAACGATCGTAATTTTAGACTTGGGCGATAAAAAATCACCCTCCAATTCCCCTCCAGAAGTAAGCTCCTTGCTCGACCGTCAAAAATGAGCGAAGGCCGTTATATTTATTCTAATTATATGGTTAAAACATGTAATTATATGTATGGAAAAGTTACTTGTCTTTTGTTTGCGGAGAAGAATAGTTTAAAACGAGCGAAGCAATTTTTCGCAGTCTATGGTATGGTTCGGTCCGATGTCCTAGAGAGTTTGTTCGTTTTTAATTTTTTGTCCATTTAATGTACTTTTTTCATAAAATTTTTTTGAATTGCAACTTTAAACTAAATGGTCGATGTCAGTGTTTTTTTATATCAAGTTGTCAACCTAATCCTTCGTCGGTATGTTCATTTTTTTATCGGCAATTATGCAAAAATGATTGAATACATTTATTATCATTCACCCATCACAAACCTCATTCCAGATTAAAATTTTTAAAATAAAGTCAATTTGTTTTTTTTCATGGCTGGCATGAACCTCAAAATGTTTTTTTTTCAGCTTGAGTTTTTATTTGATGTTTTATTTATTTGATTAGTAAGATTAATTAACTAATTAAGTAAGGTCAGTAAGAAGGATGTTTAAAAATTAAAATTTGTTTATTTTAATTTATTTAGTCTTTTTAGTTAGTTGTTACATTTTATAATAAATAATATTTTAGAATTTGATTAAGATCCACACAATTTATAATTTTCAGGACTAAATGACGACTATTGTGGCGGTGGAAAACAGATTTCAATTAGATGCAGGCAAAATGAAAGAGTTGGAAACCGGACAAATGTGTGAAAAAAGGGACTACAGAGAATTTGTTTGTGGCTGGGGAGCTGCCAACGTCAACATTCTATTGACATTTCCAATCAACAAACTAATCTTTCGACAGCAGTTATTAGGAATAAGCACAACGACAGCTTTCAATCAGCTAAAATCTGAAGGCTATTGGACATTGTACAGAGGTGTGCTACCTCCACTCCTTCAAAAAACTACATCGGTTTCTATTATGTTTGGGATGTATGAGGAATTCAATAAAAAATTTGAGCAGACACATCCAGATATGCCAATAGTTGTCATCCATACAGCATCTGCTCTGTTGGCTGGTTGCATGGAAGCTGTGCTGATGCCTTTTGAACGAATTCAAACATTGTTACAAAACAAAACGTATCAAGAAAAGTACAAAAACACGATACATGCTTTCAGGGAGTTGAGGTGTTTGGGTTTTGCTGAATATTACAGGGGACTCACACCAATCCTTCTTAGAAATGGTCCAAGTAATGTTATTTTTTTTCAATTCAGAGGTGAAGTCAAAAAATTTTTGCCAAAGTCAGATAAAAAATCATATGAAATATTCAGCAATTTTGTCAGTGGAGGGCTACTGGGAGCTGTGATTAGCACGATATTTTATCCAGTGAATGTTGTAAAAACATACATGCAGTCATCTGTTGGAGGAAGTTTCCCGGGGTTCATCAAATCTTTCAAGCATGTATTCAACGAAAGGGACAGGAGTGTCAAAAATATGTTCAAAGGTTTTCATGTTAATTATTCAAGATCGCTGTTGTCCTGGGGTCTTATAAATGCCTCCTATGAGTTATTAAAGAGTGCTTTGTACACATGCAGATGATGGTTCCTTTTTAGGCTGCAGTTTCTGAATTGGCTATCCATTAGGGATTTAGATATGTAGGATATTTCCATGTAACATCGTTGTTGAATGTAAATGAAAAAATTTTTCATGATCACATGAATCATTTGTAGTTGTTGTTAATACTTGTGGCTGTATCATTTAATTTAATGATATGTATTATTGTTTGTCTTCTTATTATTTGATTTACTTTTATATTACCTACAATTTGTAAATATGTACATCGACTTTATTTTGTAATAGTAGCCGCCAAAGTCAAATTTGCATTTGTTAACTCGTGCTAAATTATATAATTTACATTCAAACAAACTGCTTGATGGATACAACTCTGTACGCAAATACACTTGTACGTTATGCTAATACAGTTGTGTACTTGTTTTATAAAGATGTGGAATAACGTACCAGCGCTCACAAGCTTTATTTTTAGTAGATAGTGGGTATATAATCAATTTATACACAGGTAATAATAATAATAATAATGGTTTATCACCATTCTATACCACTATAAAATTTAGGTGATTCTATGTTAGTTTTTTAATTTTCTGATTTTTTACAGTTATTTTTAAAATCATTTTTGTTCAGTTGAAATATGGCTTAAATCTATATTAACATTTGATTATCATTTTTAATTATTTTTAACGTCCTTGAGAATCTGCACTGAAAACAAACAACACCATTCATTCCTTGCCAGGCATAATCGTTGTTTATCACTAATTAGTAATTTATTTAGTTTATAATAAAATAAAAATTAAATTTTATTATACTGGGACGGAAACAACATTCATTCATAACGAGAAATTTATATTCTGTTTATTCATTCAGAGCCGACTCAGCTCATAAGCCCGTTCATCGAGAGGTCTACCAACAATTTTGCCATACGGTCGGTCGGCTTTCGTCTTTAATTATAATTGTAACTCCTCCCTGTAATGTAAAAAGTTTATAAATCTTAAGTATAAATTACACTGACTACATTGCTAAGTATTGGTCAAGTGATTTTGTTTATTTATTGTTACGTTTTTATGGCATCTAGGTTTGTATCGGGACGTTACATTGAAAATTTATTCTTTTCATTCACCAATCCAAACTTACAAGACTTCCTTTCCGACGTTTTAATCCTCTGCGCCGGCTTGCCCGTGACGGCGTCGGCGTTCGATTTTGTGGCCGATTTGACGACAGCTTCTAAAATATCATCGACCCCTTCTGTCTCTGAGCCGTGTCCAGTCGTATGCTTGCTACCCGTTCGTGATGGCCTACGCAATGTGTTGGCCTGGGCTGTGTCTGTCATTCAGGTTTGCAATTATATACAAGAGATTACATCAAATTTCATGTAATGGGAGGAAAATATTTTGGCCAATAAGTTTAGTGTACTTAGTAACTTGGTCGTATTAGTAATCAATCCACAGCGTAAAGTATAATTACGTTGCTTTTATATATTTTTTAAAGATAGCTTAAGGAACAGAAATGTTTCGAATCAAAAATCAATTTATTTCTTTAGCACTACGTACTTAGAACGTTCTTCTTCCTCGCCTTAACACCTGATAGAAGCAACGAATTTGTACTGTTGTCTGACATTCCCTTGCCGAGTAGCATCTTCAAGTCGGCGTCTCTTTCCCTTTCCAGAGGTAGGGTCCGTGTTTTGGCTGCAAATTTATCCGTCTGTGAAAGTCAGGGATAAAATGTTTTTTTTTAATTTGATGTGATCAAAAATTGCGACGATAGTACATAAAATTTTGTATTGAAAGCAGACATTAACAAGTTAAAAAAATTAAAACGACCAAAAGGTAAAATTTTTAAACATTGAAATTAAAGCTTTGCAGTAACAAATGAGCCGACTTCGACAATCATCTTCCCCCTCGTCTTTTTCCTCTCCGACTCATTGACTTTTTTGGCACGTTGAAGCATTAGCTTATCCCTCATGGTTCGATATTCAAGGGCGAACTCACTGATGACCTTACAGAATGGTGTGACCTTCACCTCGCGTGCTCCGTCAGAAGTGTAACCGAGGTAGAGGAGAAATTTGCTGAACCTGTTGGAATTTGCTCGTCTGCTTACAATGGGAACGTGATCTCTTTTCATAATATTTTTCAAAGAGATCATATTGTCTATTAGATTATATTTGAAAAGTTAAACTACAAATGATTTTGAAATAAGAAGTGTAGGAACCTGTTCATGAGTCGTTTGAGGATAAATTTCAATATGACGATACGCTCAGCGCATTCAAATAGAAAGTCGGATAATCTGAAGAATGACACTAATGTTGAGATAAGTTTCAAGTAGATGCAGTATCAAAACTGATTTTTAAAAAGATAATTTATATTATTAATAGCAAATAATTAGAAGAGCAAGCGAATAACTTATTCTTAGCGTTTGCACCAGGATCATTCTTGATGATGATGTTCAGGTTTTCCCATGATAACTTGCAGTCACTTTCCAGTTTGGATAATTTGGAGAGCATTTCGTCCCAATCAACCTAAAAAATAATTAAATAAAATCTTAATTAAATTGTTTTTTTTATGTGTTTTGAAATGTTGAAATAACGGAGTAGTTGTTTAAAATTTGATGAAAATAAATTCAGACAAAAGAATTAACCTTTGAACACCGGGATATTGACCCAATTTCGGAAAATAGATCGGTGGTGTCGTGAAATTGATCGAGTATAACGTTGCAGAGGTGATAGAGCAGCGAATGTTTGTGCACTGTATCCTTGATCTCTGGAATTTTCGAAAGGTACTCAATCGTGAAACCTTTAACCTAATGGATGAGAGTACAAAACAAATTAATAATATTGGTGAACTTTAACTAAATTTTTTCATAAACTCTAAATTTAAAACATGAAAATATTTAAATCAGTTAATATTGTACAATTTAAACCTAACACCAATAAAAAATGCAATAAGTTGTATAAAGTTATCGTATGTGAAGGGAAAATATCGACCTCGGAGCCGTTGAGAAAGTTTCCAATAGTGAGCATGGTTGCGAGAATTTGTTTGAGGGCCTTACTTTTCCTTAGTTCTTCGATGCCCTGCTTCAAATCGTACATAGGTTCTGCTATTTCCTGGTTGAAGTTCAATTATGAAAGAAGAAAGGTTAACAAATAGGAAAATAAAAAGTTTTATATAAAAAAATTATTTTTGTAATTTAAAGATTCGAATTCAGCGCTGTTATAAGTTATTAGTTATTTAAATGAAATTAAATAATTTTAAGAGTATAAGAAGCAACACAAATTTTAATTTTTTATCAAGAGTCATTTAAAATACGAGAAATTTTTGTATCACTCATAAAAGATGCAGATTTACTAACATTTTCTATGGTATCGAAATCCAGTTTGAACAGCCACAACTTCAGTCGATCATTCAGGTTGGAAATGGAGCTGAGTGTCAGACAGAACTGTTCCGCATTTCCTAAAGTCAGCTCTGGGTTCTGCTTTTGGGCATCAAGTATTCTTGTCTTTTCGTCCTCCGTCGGAATCATAGTGTTCAGCAGTTTCTGCAAAGTTCAAGTAGATATCAGATAGAAACTTCAAGTACTTGAAAAGTAAACTTGGAAAACTCATCTAAAGAAAGCTTCTCAATTACGGACATATTTATTGCTGATAAAATTACTAAAAAGTAATTGGAATAAAAAAGAAAAGCGTGTCAACCTCTATAACTTCTCTATTCAGGATGGCAGAATCCATTTTCAAGATGGCCGTCTTGATGGTCCGCGGTGGCGGCAGAGCAGTGAGGCCGATGTTGATGACGTTTGATCGTTTGGGATCCAAAATGGCAAGTTCCTTTTTGGCGCCTTCTTGTTTCTTTAAATAATAATCATATTAATTTTTCAATGAAAAACGACTAATGTCTTAAACAGCCATTTCAAATTAAAAACACAAGTTGAAAAATGGCCGAAACTTAAAAGTGCAAAATAATTGAAACTTTTCAAGCAATATGAAAACAGTGCAGAGCAAACCTTTGTTTTTAATTCTACAGTTTTTGAAGCAAACAATTGTTCCACTTTTTCTGAATCAACTTTGACGGGTCCCAATTCTTTCACCACACTCGTCCAAAACGTGTCGGATTGTTTGCCAGACGGAAGAACATAACTGGCGTTCGCTTCCTTCCAATGCAATTTTATTGTCTTTTTAGCAGCTGGTTTGTTATCATGCGAAAGGGGTGGGGGTGCTAATCCACCAAATAATGGAGGCGGTGGTGGTAAGCCACCCATTAATGGTGGTGGTGGAGGTGGGGGCAAGCCACCCATTAATGGTGGTGGTGGAGGAGGCAAACTGTTGAAAGATAAAGCAGGGGGTAGCAAAGGAGGAGGAGGAGGTCCGTGCCCTCCTGAAAGTGGAGGTAGTGGTGGTGGTAGTGGTGGTGGTAGTGGAGGCAATCCACCCATCATGTTGAATGGCGGAGGACCAAGTGGTAAGGGTCCTAACGATGAATTGGCCACTCCTGGTTGGATGGATACGTAATCAACTTCATCCGCTTCCGTCAACTCCGTGAAATCAACCTTCGGACATTTGGTTTGCATTATTTTAATGAAAATAGTTAAGATGTAAAATGTAACGTACACTTTGGTATGGAGCATACTTTGAACAATCGGAGGGAAAGGTTTTAAATAAATTTAAAAAGCAAGTGAATTGAAATAGTTGAATAAATAATATAATCTATATAGGCCTGATTATAACAATTACGACCGATAAAACAAAGCAAATTAATAATAAAAATAATTCGTAATCATTAAACAAATAATTTTTGACAAAAGGAGACTAATATGAATAAAATATTAATAATGTTGTCAGTCATAAACATGACGAACATTTTTAATTTTCAAAGGCCTCTTCATGCTCTTCTCAATCTGTTCCCACTGCAAATCCGCCTCTGACTTTGGGGGTAGTTTTGGAACGGTGGGACCTCTTGCTACTTTTTTGGCACCCAGCGATTGTTTGGCCTTGCTAAGAAGACTTCCCAGTCCGCCTTGTTTGTTGTCGTCATCATCTTCATCGTCACCTGACTCTTGCTGTTGGCTCTCTTTTGAGGTATTTGTGCAGAATTGGATTGAATTATACGTTAAGTTTGGTGAATATAAATATCGTTACATCTTTTTGAATATTTATGTCATCATTAGCAAGCAACATCACCAGCACAACAAAACAAATCATTCCTCACCGTCATCGTCACCGCCGTGTTTGGATATTTTGTAGAGCATCCACTTTTTGTTTGATGAGAGGCTGTTGTTACTTGAGGATTTCGGCTGCCGTGCATATCGTGTTGATAGTTGTTCGTTTTGATGTTTTTGTTGTCTGTTGCGAAAATATTTATAGCGAGTTATATCACTTTGTTATGTTTGTGTTGTCTTGAAAGAAAAAATATTTATTTTAAGCTCTTTTCAGATTTTCACTAATGCGGCTTGATGTTTCAACCTAAAAGTTTGTTTGATAGTTGATAGGGCCATGTGCACAGACTCATTAACATAATAATTTTAATTAATAAATCACATACACAAATTCATTAGCATAATATATTTTCTGGGATCGCTTGCTAATAGTGCATTTGATTAATAAAAGAAAATAAGTTCGAAGCGTCTTTTTTGATTCCGCAATCCATTTAAATTATTAAGAAAAATTTCAAACAAAACTCACCCTTTATTTCCGGTAGGTTTGAATGTTTCGTCGAATGCACTTCCGGTACTAAATCGTCTGCTCCTCCTACGCAGCATCGATTCATCTCGTCTCTTCCTTAACGACTGTCTGGTGATGATGACGATGAAGAAAAAGAAGATGATGATGGCGATGATGATGTTGAATAAAAAAATGAAACATTAATAACCAAATACTGCCAATAATTAGTTTTGGGCGGCAAATTAAAATCATTTAAACGACAAAATTACGAAATAACAGCAAAAATAGCTCAAAAAGATAAAATGTATTTCATCTACCACAAAGTACCCACCTAATGTTGACGATGTTTGCCAGATTTTCAGTTGCGTTGCCATCTTCACTGCTGAGGACAGTTTCGTAAGTGTTCAACTGTTCCGCAAATTCAGGATCACAATTTTTATCCTCTAGGTTCCTTCTAATGATAGATTCGAGACCCTGCTCTTCCAGGGAATCCACAACGTCGTAGTACGTGTCCTGGTCTGGAATGCCGTTGAGGGTCTGACGTTGATTGATTGGATGGTTGGTGTGTTGATTTGTTGATTGATGATTTGATTGGTTGGTTGGTGTGTTGATTGATGATTTGATTGGTTGGTTGGTGTGTTGATTGACGATTTGATTGATTGGTTGGTTGATTGGTTGGTTGGTTGGTTGGTTGGTTGGTGTGTTGATTGACAATTTGATTGGTTGGTTGGTTGGTGTGTTGATTGATGATATGATTAATGGTTTGATTGATTGCTTGATTAATTGAGTAAATGATTTATGGCGATTGATAAAATTTTTGATAAGTTTATAGACTATTAAAGTAATTAAAAAAACATTTGGTCAGCTAATTTTTAAATAACTGAAGTTTTGCTTGTAACAGCAATGAATAAATGTTATCAAATGGCAAAAAAATTGGAGGAGGACAAAAGAATTGGGACCCTGTTGATGAGGGTCATGGCGAAGATTTTCAACTCCACATCATCGTTTCCATCCTGATCCGACAGAATGTCGATCACCCTCTTCCAAGCTTTGTTGCCTTTGCAAATGAAAAATTTTTTTATAAGTAGGCGTGTAAGTTTTAATTTGCCAAATATTATTTCACAAATTTCACAAATATGCTTATAAAAGTGAATAAGACATAGGCGCAGCTGATACATGCATACAAACAGACTTACATATACATAAACGTGTACAAGCATACACACATACAAACACACATACACACACACACAAGCATGTATGTATGCGACATACAGAACCAACCCTTTCCACAATCTGCCGTGTTGACAGCTTTCAGTAAAAAGTTGACGTTCGTTTCGTTATATTCCACAAAGACCAACAACAACTTAATAGCGGTTTTCGAGACTTGAGCTGACTATGTGTTGTGGATAGTAAAATAAAGTTTTAAGATTAAAACTGAGTTTATTGCTCGGGGATAAAAAATTGATTGAAATAAATAATAATTTGACAAAAAAAATAAATTAAGTAATTTAAACAAAATGAAAGCCAATCAAACCTTAGATGAGAGTAAAGAATAGAGCCACTGTATTGTTTCGTTATGATTTACGATTCCATTCATACCATCCACGTACAACATCACTTGCCCGATGGCTAATTACATGCAATGATAGTGTAATGTTTTAATGTGATGTAATGTTGAAACGTGATGTAACTGTAATGTGATTTAATGGTAACTTGATGTAAATGCAATGTGTTGTAATTGTAATGTGACGTAACTGTAATGTGATGTAACTGTAAATTGATGCAATTGCAATGTGATGTAATTTTAATGTGATGTGATGTAATTGAAATGTGATGTATATGTAACGTTATGTAATTGTAATATGATGTAATTGCTATGTATGTAGTTAGTTATAGCTTAATGTGTGTAAACGTTACGTATTCATATGAATAAATACTGCAGATGCGAATGTTAAAGGTATCTTTAAAGACCTCTGAGAATATAATTTTGATAGTTAGCATCAGTTTCATCACCGACTTTTATTAAACAGTCCAGGCCATCACTGTTTGCAAACTGGTGCACCAGATCTTTATCATCCTGGTGGCAGCGATTTTAATTAAAAAAAAATTAAATTTAAAAATACTCAAAGCTAAATTATATTATTATAATTATAGATAGTTAATCATGTTAATTAAAATAAAATAATTACAAAAAATTAGTTTTTTATTTACTTGGAAAAGTTGTTTGAGAGAGAAGAGAGCTCTTCTCAGCTCTCTGCCCGATGAGTTCAGCAATCTTTCTATGATCGTGTGAACACGTACCGTTATTTGCGTTCGTAAAATCAACGAACTTTTTTTGCTTCAGTTGAAAAAATCATGTTATAATATTTTTATATTTTACGTTTCAAAACAGTTCAAAAAAGTTAAAACATAATTATTACGATGAATATCATCAACTACTCTTAAACTAATATTATTAAATTCACATGTTGTTAGTGACATATTAGTTCGATTATATCAAAGCCATACACACACAAACAAACACACATAAACAAACACACATAAACAAACATACATAAACAAACACACATAAACAGACACTCATACAAACCTTTCCATGAATCCTTCCAACTCTTCCGATTGTTCTTCGAGTGGAGTATCGAGGTCCAGATAGGATGCATACTCGTGTGACGATCCCTCGCACCTATACAGTTGCAGTGTGCAGTCTTCCAACTGAAAGTGTTATCAACGTATCTAGTTATTTGCGAGAGTCGTAATAAAAAAATAATTTTAAGTATTTTTAAAGATTCACTTGCGAAACAACGCACAAATAAACATTTGGCACGGGAGGAAAGACTCAAACATTCATTCAGATCACTGACCAACTACTTGTTGAGACAAACTCGATACACAGATCTCCTAGTTAATGTTCAAACTGTTTTGCTGTGTTTATAAAAACAAATGAGAACAATTACTTTGTGAGGTGCCTTCAGTAATCTTTTTACTCCAGCGATTTGGTTGAGCAGTGGTATGTTGGTTAGGAAGGTGTAGGTAGGGGCTTTGGTTGGTTCGGGAAAGTTTGTGGTGTTGAAAGGATTGGTGTCATCCAAAAATTGAATGCGGCATTGTAGGGTAGACATTTCAAAGTTTCGGTTACGTAAATAATCTTGTTTTTATCTCCCGTAAATGTTTGTACTATGAATTTATTATATTATTAATCTTTTTTTTTAGCTCGAAGTTAACGTAAATTTTCAAAAGCTTCTTAAACTTTTGTCGAAAATATTGGCATCTCAATGAAGATTTTACATACTACGTAGGACTAACAGAATAACAAATTAAATTAAAAACTATTTTCAAAGAAAATTTACAAAACAAACTATTTGCACTGCTTGCTCGCTGTTGCCTACCTGCTAGCTCGATGATCAAAACATGAGTGATGTTAATGATGCTTTCATCGAGAAATATTCGAATCATTTATTCATATTTTACAACATTTTAACCATATTCGGTTAAATTTTAAAGTTCTTGAATGGTATATCTGGAATATTGTATTATTTTATCTCACATTAAAATGAAATAAACCACCCGACTGAAAATCTGTAATAAAATTAATTTGGCTAGGACGTTAGAGCAGAGGAGATATCTAAATTTGTTAACATAAGTAGATTTTGTACGTTATATTATGATTCGATTACAAAATTAAGAAAATCATTCGTCGAAGAATTCCGGCTAAGATATTGTGCGTACAGTTCCAAACGCAAATTAACTTTCTCCAAATCATTGGCTCTTAAAGATAGCATAACAAGTGCCAAACGACTCAAGTTTAGAACTTTACCAATAGTTGCATCTCATTCTGAAACATCTCAACAAACGAGTGAACAGCGTTCAAGAGAGGCATTCAAAAGTTGTTGTGATGACATTAGTTGTTTGCCACGCAAAACTTTCAATCAAACTCCCATTTTAATCTCAGATATCTCACACCTATCAGCAGCCTATTCATTGAAGTATGAAAAAAATGATTTAACGCGAAACTCAAGCAACTGTCCAAAAATACCTTGTAGAACTCCAATCATTGAAAAGGAAATATTACGATTAAAGAACAAAAAACGAACGAATAATTTCCTTATTTGTAGAATTAATTAGAATTAATTAATTTTATTTAAAAACAAAACAGACGCCATACTATTTAGATCCAATTTTTATTCATTTCATTATCAAATAAGTTGATCTAGGAAGTTAAAAACAACGGTAAATACAAACAATTTATCAACCTACATATATGTACGTGTACATATATGTATGTATGTATATATATATATATATATATATATATATATATATATATACATAATTTGTAAACAAAATGGATATATGCACTCATCACATTTCGAATTTAAATGGGAAAAAATATATAACTAGCCGGTAATAATAACTTCTACGAATATGCGAATAAAAGAAGTCTCTGATATATAAATGATATATCATCACCATAATCTTCATCGACTGAATAATTAATTAAACAATCAATCAATTAATCAATTAACGTTCTCATTTACGCATGGTTATAAAACATTGGAATACTTTAAAATGAAAAAAAATATGATTCAGATATCCGCTAATGACACATTGATTAATTACATCATCAATTTCATTACGATTAAAATGTACAGAAAACGAAATAAAATAAGAATTTTTTTTATAAAGTTTCATTGAATAACAAACTGCAAGTAGTATATATATATATATATATATATATATATATATATATATATATATATATATATATATATATC